TTTCATTATAATCTATTGCTTGGACTTGTAGTCCCGTATAGCTGGTGGTATTCTGCTGGATTGCTGTATAATGATTATACAGCAATGCAGAATAGCACCAACTATGCAGGTCTACAAGTCCCAGCAATACATTATATGATTAAGTAGGAACGCACCAGTGCCAATACTGGGCATTTTCACAAGTACTCATCCTCGTGAAAAAGCCCCGATACTAAGCGCAGATACCGCTGTTCTGTCGAGAACGCCAACCTAGTCGAATTTGCCGACTTCGGCACTATTATCGAGGAACACCGGCACCAAATTTTGCAACTGAAGCAGCTGCCTGAGATCCCGCACTTGCTGGGGACCTTGGCAGCCTTCCTGTTAACCACACGGTGCCATGGCGATGGGGGGTTGGGATGGGGCTTCATGGTTTCTTGCATCGGGGCCCTGAAGGTTCTAATTACGCCACTGGCTGAGTTGCAAGGGGATCAAGGGTAATAATCAGGTTTCTATGGGTTGTTTTATTGTAGTTTTAAATGTGTCCTCCAAATTAAAGGGAATTTCCATAAAATCAAAGCTAAAACCTAGTAAAAACACTGTAAGCATAAAGACATTGTTTTCTTCTTTGCCAATCTGTATGCAAAAAAAGTGGTGTAAGGAAATTTCATTATGGCAAATGCTGCCATGATTTACGCTGAAGTACCACATTACTTTTCTAACAAACTAGATCAGTCTTATTTTATATTCTGTTTTTTATAGAACACTGAATTATTTACATACCATTCACAGGCCTAGCAGAGCCTACAATAATGTGTCCTGGGGGAATCTCACACAAGCACGGGGTAAACAGACAAATTTCAGTCAAATTATCTCCCTGGTTAGAATTAAATTCAGGACCCCAACAGGTGTTATAGCTGTGGTGTTTTTTGTTTGTAGAATATTAAAGAGAGAATAATATAAATTCAGAACATATTACATTATTATTTACAAAGTGTACAGTGATAAGGGCTCCTGAAACATGAACAAGATATCCAATAGCACCGGAATATACAATGGTCCCTCAGCGAGGCACAGCCAACATCTCATAATCCCGAGGTCTGGTAGCATTGGTGTTGGGCTCCGGTGTAATGTCTATGTACTTTCTGTCCACGGTGGATTTCAGAGTAAACCTTTGCAGAATGGTTGTCAAAAAGAGGAAGAGTTCCATGCGAGCCAAACCCTCACCCATACACACACGCTTTCCTGGGAAAGAAGAGAAAAAACACATCAAGAAATGCTACTCAAAGCATATCATTTGTATAGACGTAGGTGTCATTTAAAGGGTAACTTTGTATGTTAACATCATTGTGTGTAGAGTATAGAAATAACAATGCCTTCATGGCTGGTTTGACTGGATGTCTAGTTTAAAGTCTCGATGGACTTCCAGGACCCATGTCTTCCTGTGGCTAGATGTTACCTGTTGTAATACCTCTAATGATCGCTATAGAACTCAGCTGCGGATGACACCTTGGACAAGTCCCAAACTTTGTCTTTGGATGTTTAGTTCACAAACTTCACATAAAAGAAGTAGCGGTCAATAGGTTTGAATGGAACTAGATCCGCTATGGAAACATATCACGGAAGTAGCAGTCAATAGTTGTGAATGGAAGTAGATCCGCTAAGGTAAATTTGTAATGTTTTAACATCAAATCACAGAAGTAGCAGTCAATAGTTGCAAATGGAATGGATCAGCTAGGATAACTGGAAATACTTGCTGTTAGCTGTGCAATGGAGATCTCAGGCTGAAAGAGGAGATTTCAATGGGATGCACTGGAACCTGGAGGCAATAGCTGGTTTCCTTGATTAATAGTTTGAATGGTTGAGGCAAGGTTCAGGCTGTTCAGGGCACAGGGAATACCTGGGAACAGGCAGATAAACCTGGGAGAGAGGGTTTTAGCCCATATGGAGGCACGGCGGTTCAGAGAGCTTGTCTGACATCCACATACATTGCAGGTACGCCGGACAAGTGAAGATTTGCGGCTTAAGCTGAGGAGGTAGAAGGAGGGGCATGAAGTCGGCAGACTAGGGGTGGAGCCACCCTTTGTGTCCTGGATCCTGGAGAGGCGAGTCTGGTAGATCTTTTACACCTGTTGACTCTAGGCATATACAGTAATACCTTGGTTTACGAGCATAATTCGTTCCGGGAGCATGCTTGTAATCCAAAGTGCTTGTATATCAAAGCGAATTTCCCCATAGGAAATAATGGAAATTCAGATGATTCGTTCCACAACCCAAAAATATTCATATAAAATGATTACAATACTGTACTGTAATATAATACTGTACAAAATATAAAGAAAAATAAACCAATTACAGGTACCTTTGTGGCCGGTGTGAGAGGGACAAGAGAGGAGGATTATTGTGTAGGACGACTTTCACTATCACTAACGGAATCACTGCTATCTCTTGGCTCAATGGAATCTTTTTCATTTCGTGAAACCTTAACAAGGAATCTATTCAATGTGACATTGCATTGTCGTTAAACAGACTCATCGCTCGCACTGCTACAGCCTTATCGGTGGCGCTTTTCTACAAAATGTTGCTCTTATTGCAAGACATTGCTTGTATATCAAGGCAAAATGTTTCAGAAATGTTTGCTTGTCTTGCAAAACACTCTCAAACCAAGGTATTACTGTACTGTGCTTCAGTGTCTTACAATTTGATGGGGCTGGAACTTGAAACTGGACAGTCAGAGGAATGGAAACACAAAGCTAAGAGCCATGCTAAGGCTATGTGATTCCGAATGTTTATATTCCATTGCAATTACCTGTCCGTGTTCCAGTGAATAGCTCAATTGAGGGTCTCTGGTATATGAGAAGTGACATAATTATGCAAGAAATGTTGTTTTAGCTATAGGGTACTGGTTGATATTGGCAAGATTCAGTTGCAGGGGCTGTAAGGATGTGACACGCTTTTGGTGCTGATCAATACTCGGATTCAGAAAGTGTTAAGAATTTGAAACAGATCTTTAATCTATGTATTTCAACTATGCATTCAGCTTTAGATGCTGTTATTGCCAAAAAGCTAATCATCCTAACAGGTTTCATAGGTAGTTAGAGGAGGAGGTATTTGTTTAGGAAAACTTGTAGAAGGGTGAGAGCACATGTTATTCCAATTTCACAGCCTGACCCAAAATAATGCACAAATACAAACTGGAAAAAGTAGTGCAATGCCAAGATATAATCTATTTTCGGAACTATTATTGACAGCAGCCATACGTACAGTATGGTGTCAGGGAATCGCGTTCCGTCACCTGGGTCAGCCGCGCCGGCGTCTGGTTGCTAGGCGACCTGCCGGTCACGTTCCCTCCAGGGCTTGTACTCTCAGACGTCGCTCTCAGACACATACAGTGTCTAAGTGACAGGCAGAGTAGGCCGGCCTTCACACAGCATTTCCGTTACTAGGAGATGGTTGGGAAGGCCACTGCTGACGACTCCACCCACACACACCTGCCTCTCCTACAAAAGCTAACAAGGCTCACTTGCTCAGCGTTCTAGCGAGGTAGAAAGTCAAGCAACTTGCTAGGGCATTCACCTCCACCATCCTGAACCTTGCTGTCCTCCTCCAGAGGATTCACAGCCGTGAAGCTTCCACAACCAGTGGCTCGGGGTATCTGGACTGTTTACACCAAATCGCAAGTACCACCTGATACAAGATTGCATATCCTCCATTGGCTTGAAGCTGAGATCCACACACACAAGCTTGCTGGACATTACAGGCTGTGGATATCAATAGGTTTCACTTCCACCCAGTTGCCTGGTTCCATGTACAGTATGCAGAGCACAGTAAGACTTTGACTGGGTTCACACCTGGGCGTTCCTAGTAGGCGCGTTTTATGCCTGTTTTTGCCCGTGCGTTTGTAGCGCGTTTTTTTTGTCCAATGAAATGCGTGTTCAACGCGCCTTTTTTAACCTCCCTGGCGGTATGATTTTTTTTTCTCCTTTTTTTTCTCTGTTTTTTCAAAACGTTTAAACTTCCCGGCGGTTCCGCCCCCTTGCGACGCGGACGCTCGCAATGGACGGAACCCGGAAGACAGATGCCGGCAGCGGCCGGAGGACACAGAGGGGTTTGCGGACAAGGTAAGACCTACGCTGTATTCCCGAGTGTGGCTCGGGGTTACCGCTTTGGTACAGAAAATTAACCCCGAGCCACACTCGGGAATACCAATGGATACGCGATGAAATCGGCCCCTACGCGCGAAAAAGACGCTCAAGTACTTTTTCGCGTGTAGGGCGTTTTTCTGTGCAAAAAAACACGCTGAAATACGCCCAGGTGGGAACCATGCCAATAGGGATTCATAGGATGTAACTTCTTAAGCGCTTTTCAGCGCTTCAGTCAGCGCTGAAAAACGCCCAGGTGTGAACCCAGCCTTACAGTGGCAACCTGGTTCAGTATTTTTTTATACATCTGATTGTCAGTTGATATTCTTAAAGTAAGCATTTCATAAGCAAAAGTATGCACATAGCAGATATAATTATTTTCTATGTAATACAATTCTATGATTTATGCACATTTAGAAATAAATGCACATGGAGTTCAATTCACAAAATCTCAAAGCTAAGGATCTTTATTTTAGCCAAAGTGATTGCAATGTTCAGATGTCTTTGGACTCCATGAAAATAATAACAATAATAATCCTTTTAGTGATGTGTTAGCTTTCCAAATTGAGCCTATAGTCTGGAACACAACAGTGGTAGATAAACATTGCTGTACAGTATATCTAAAAATGATTATGCTTATTATTTTTTATTATTATTATTGCTTCTGACCTGAAGAAGAGAGGTTCACTCTCGAAAGCTTGTCATAAGAAAGGTATTATTGCACACTGCAGTTTTTTTTGTGACATCTTGGTACTGGGCTAATACGGCTTACCCATTTACATTACACTAAAAATGATTAGCTATACATGTAATTAACTACAGCACAGTACCTGCTGAAAATGGCATGAAGGCATCACTTTTCTTAAAGGTGCCATTCTGATTAAGAAAATGTCCAGGGTCAAATTTATGAGGGTTCTTGAAATAAGTGGGGTCCTTTAGGACTGAAGTTAGGATTGGAAGCACCAAAGTTCCCTAAAATGTAAAGAATTAAATTGGTTAACTGGAAACAGATGCAAGCAAAAGTGAAGTAAGAAAATAAGCTACCTTAACCTAAAGCTAGCTTGAGTTATCTAGCGTGGGTTATCCTGTATCTACAGTTTTCAGTGATTCTGGAATTATGTGGACATGGTTTAGTGATCAAAAACTTTCCAGGTTCTTTTCAGAAGTTTCTGTGAGCTATACTGTGCATGTCTGGTATTCCTAATCAGGTTAGGGTCATCTAGTGGGATCCAATGAGGATCCCACTTTTAAAGTGTATGTAAACTTCAGTAGATTGAGATGTGACTGGGGCAGGGGCTGACTGGCAACTTTTAGCCCAGGGGGCAAGTACAACCCAGAGGCCCATGGTGCGGCAACTTGGTCCCCCTCCTGCTCTGCCTCTTCCCCGCATTCTCCCCGCCCCTGTCTGCCACTTTTGCCATTTATGTAACAGTAGTGTGAATGTATTTATCGGTTTAGGAAATGTAAAGCACACTGGTAGTGAAGGGATGCCTTGTCAGGGCTGTGCGCGTGCATGACTGCTGCGGCCCTGGTAGTTCTGCCACTAACTCAGAAATACATTGTACAGCATTGCAGAATGGCATTGGCTATAGAGAACTACAATTCCAAGAAATACATTACACAACAATGCAGAATACCATCAGCTATAGCAGACTATAAATCCCAGCAAAAATGACTACCAACAGCTATAGAGAACTACAATTCCCAGCAATACCATTATACAGCAATGCAGAACTGCATCAGCTACAGAGGACTACAAATCCCAGCAATACATTACACAGCGCAATGCAGAATAATATGAAGCTACATGCTCTGTTGCTCTGGGTTCTCCGCCTGATGTCTAAAGGGTCTCAGGTGGGCTGTGCGGGCTCTCACCAGGGGTCCAGAGAGTGTCACAGGTGTGTGTGGGTGCAGCAGAGGTGGCTCCCTAATTAGGCTCTCAGGTGGCCAATGCGGAAGGCTCTGCAATCGGCGGCTGCTCGGTCCTCAAGGGGGTCCTCAGAAGGACCCAACGGGCTGCCCTCTACAGCGCTTGGTTACAGGGCCGCGTCTGCCTGATCCAGCCAGCCGGATCGCATACCGAGGTGATCCGCGCTGGCCGTACCAGGTAGACACGGCATGTTAGAGGGCCCCCTGCTGGAGCCTCCCGAGCACCTCCTTACGGAGCAGCGGCCGCACCATTCACAGAGCCGCGTCGGATGCGGAGGGCGAGTGGCCGGGTGCAGGTGGCACTGCAGCAGCCGGGGGTCAAGGGGCCGTTCGCAGTGGCATCAGAGAGGCCCCTGGACTGGGGTATTCTTCAGTTGCTTTTATTACATTTTCATTTGGTTGTCTGCTGCGTAGCATTGTGTTTAATATAGACTTCTGTTATTATCTCTGCATACAGTTCTACGTGTGATGTTTTCTATTTTTTCTATTTCAAGATATATATGTTTCTGTACTTTTGAAATACAATCTGGTGGCATGTACACTTTCTAGTAGGTTGTGAAGGGTCGCTCTCAGTTGAAGATTTCCCTTAAAATTCTGCCTTGAGACACAACAGGAAGTGAGTAGAGATCTCTCCAAACTAAGAAAAATCCTCTCTTAGAGAGTTGTCACCAGAGCAAGTGTTTGCATTGGACGATTTTCCCTCTATTACTAACTCAATGACAAGTGAAACCTTTAGATTTTTCCCTACTTTCAATCCTAGTTACAGTGGCCACTGGTATAAAGGTGAGTCTTCCTTGCATATTCCATCCTAACTGAAAAAAATTACTTCAGATACACTTTAGTAAAGGTGAAAGAATTCCCATCCCTGTGGATGTCCAAATATAGAATAAAGATGAAGTACTCTTCCTTCTTTGGAATAATACTACACAAACATATCTGTAAAGCTATTGCTCACCTCACCAAGATAAGCAATGTTAGCTCTGCTTATCTCCTCCATGTCTCTTCTCACTTCACACAAACCTACATGGTTGCAACAGCTGATCTTGCAGTTCATATTGTGCCTGTGCATCTAAGATTTCAAGTAGGGCCGTTGAGTAGTAAGACCACTTCTGGAATAAGCAGATCAGTTTTGGGCACCAGTTCACAAAAAGGAATGTTGTGAAGCTGGAGAAAGTACAGAGGAAAGCAACTAAACTGATCAGAGGCACGAAAAATATCAGCTACGAGGAAAGATTAGCTTGAGAAGATTCGATAAAGGGGGGGATATCATCACCATGTATACATACATAAATGGTCCATATAGTGAGCTTAGTGCCAAATTATTAACTTTAAGGTCACTGCGAAGGACAAAGGGGCACTCTTTGTGTCTAGAGGAAAAGCAGTTCAAATTTTGCATACAGATTGGCTTCTTCACAGTTAGAGCTGTGAAAATGTGGAATAGGCTTCCTCAGGAGCTAGTTCTAGTTAGCTCAGTTAACTGTTTCAAAGAAAACTGGATGCGCTCCTAAAAGGGGAGAATATTACTAGATATTAACATTTTATGAGTAAAATAAACACTGTAGATTGTTGATCCGAGAAATATCCGATTGCTTTATGGGTCAGGAAAACATTTTTCTACTCCTTTGGAGCAAATTGAACCATGTTTTATAGTTTTTTGCCTTCCTCTGGATGAACTGTGGGCAACAGTGGGCATAGCATTTTGTTTTAGGTTTTTCTTCCTTTTTGTTTTTTCTTCATTCTTTAGGTTGAACTCGATGGAGTTTTTCAACATGACTAACTATGTAACTTTTTGAAATGCCTTTCTGTAACTGCAGCTGATCTTTTTCTCTGCTATGGAAGAAAGGAAAGGATCACAGTACTGTATGTTAGTGCTGACTGAGTGTCATGCTTGGTGCTGGCACTGGAATGACTCATATGAGGATTGGAAACTATCGTACTTCCTGACTTGTCTTTTTCAGGAGATTCCTCTCCATCTGCTACAAGACTTAGGCCTGATTAAATCACATACTAGATACTCTAGATAGACAAAACACAGAGACACCTCGGACCATCTTAAAACTCTGAGAAGAGCACCTTTGGAATGTGATATCCTCTAAACGTGGTGTCCTTGCTGGCGGCATGTAGTAGCCCTGCTGGTACAATATCAGCAAATCTCTGGATCTCATGAATGACGGCATCTGTATATGGCATCTTACTCCTGTCCTCCACTGATGGAGAGCGATCGCTGCCTATTACATTGTCGATCTCTTTATGGATCCTCTCTGGAGCACAGAGAAAAAGAAGAGTGTGAAAAAATATAAGATGTTCTCACATCTGTATTTATTCATTTATGTGAGATCAGTTATATTTATACATTGGAAATAATCTGTGTTTTTCCACAGACAGACACACGCAGCAAAACCTACTAATATAAATGACTGTAAACCTGCTCTCTCTCTGATCATTTCTGTAGGATTTGATGGGAGTAATGTGCTCAAAAGAGTATAAACCTTCCAAAGTGATGAATATTGAGTCTCTTTTGCTTGTTAGGACTCCCGTTGGAATCACTGCTCAGTGCAGGTGCTTCCATTATTTGATGACTAGGTTATCTTTCTAGATGGAAGGATGGCAGGATGGAGTTTATTCAGAGTGGTTTGTTTCAGTGGTTTATAAGTACGTTTAAAAAAAAAAAAGTTTTTCAATGACAGCCAAGTAGGGTTCGGTGAAAAACATTCAGTGATCTACTAATGTTATCCAGTAAACAGAGCAACTTTACTAAAGCTAGAAAATTCCCTCAGTTTACCATAATCTGACTTCTTTGCAATTCACTCCTGCACATGCACACACAGCTCCATAGAGGGGCAGTCTGGAGCCTATGTCTAGGAGTCTATCCTGTATAACTTCCTCTCTTTGCTTCTAGCATCTCCAATCACTAAATGCACCAGAATTAATGATTTTGATGGGACCTTGCTGGCGACCTCTCTTGGTGACACCAGGCAATATTAGTTAGAGAATGGTGTCCATCCATAAACTATGCCGAAATCAAGAACGGGTGGCTGGAATATAGTCAGTACATTACTAGGGATTAGGGATGAGGTCAGATTCGGAACGAACCTGGTCCAAACCTGAGCTCTGGGGATCCTTGCAGGATGCATTAACCTAACTGACCTTACATGGCTCAATGTCTATATTAGGTAAATAGTATTTACCTAATATAGCCATGTGGCTATGCCCTGACCTGCAGCTGATTGGGTGGGAGGCTCATGTAACTTTCATGTTTGGCGGAGCTCAGGTTTAGACCAGGTTCATTCTGAACCTGAGCTCTTCCCTTCTAGTGATAATTGTTGTCTGCAGTGGTTACCAAAGGGCAGCAGTGTAGGGAATTAACTTTTAACCTTAATCCATTAGCTGTCTACTCGATAGCTCACCAACATTTTTCAGCATCCACTGATATTTGATGGAGTATAAAACTCAAGGGCTATGGTGCAAACTCTAAGCACTCTCACCCCCTTTACAACCTCTGTCAGCATGCGCTGGACATTGTAGTTTAGTGGTCAAAAAAACAAATATATATATATTCCTTTAATTGTATATTATTGAATGATTGCTAGTGCTCCTGTGGACTATAACTCTATAAGCCTAAAACAAACTTCTTTAAACTGTGACTTTTTGTGCAGTATTACAGACCTGGAATGCATCTTAGCTTAGCTTTTTTAAGGCTCGGGAATACTGTGTTAGGCATAGAGGGTTAATATCATATGGCTATAGTTACGCCACTGTCAATCACATTTAAACTTCCAAAACAGGTTTGAAATTATTTGGTGGCTGTGATGGGATTTTTTTTAGTGTGTTCCGACATCATTAGATGTTCCAGGATCACCAGATTGCAGGGAGTGTTGTGGACTGGTGCAGTGCAGCAATGTATGAATGTAAAACTAATTAGGGTCTTGACGGGCTTTGGGCTAGCATCAGTTTTAAATCAGAATTCACTTACAGGTGCACAAAAGCCTGTTGACACATGCCCTTAGTCAGTAGGCAGTTATGCTCCCTGTATGCAATTCAAGATTTAATTTTCAATTTAGACAGGAGTATACCCTTAATCAGAGAGTGACAAACATGCTTATTGTTCTGGTAGATAGAGATGGAGTTACCTTGTATCTCAGGGTATTTGAGTAGTATCAGGAAGCCATATGTCAGTGTTATACTTGTAGTCTCCGTCCCAGCAAAGAAAAGGTCATTTATTGTTCCTAATAAGTTATCATAATGGAATTCTGTTTTTGGGTCATTCTTTTCCTGAAAAATATTCAGAATAATTTTAGCAGCCTAATGGGACATAAAGCTATCACAATTCACACAAATTCAGCAAACACCTATTTTTTTTTTTTTTAGTTCTTTTTTTTTATAGCCAGTTTTCTGCATATTGGTGCACCATCAGAGTTAAAGGAAACCCCTACCGCCACTTCTCGCAGGAGTCTGGACAGCTGGCATTTAGCACTGGACTAATCATGCACCTTTACTAGAACTCTCACATATTAATTACTGTACTGGCCAGGAATACCTTTTACAACCATGTTACATTATGTATCATTTGGCACTTCTGCATTGCTTACAAACCATGCATTAGAAAAGAGATCAGATTCTAGGCCAAATTTTGAAAACAAACTCACCTCTTCCATTTTCATGAGGAAGCAATCTATGAAGTCACGTGGGCAGTTCTCATCCAATGTCTCCTTGTGAGCTTTCACCATATCTATCTGAAACGCTTTAAGCTTTTCAAAAGTCAGGATCATTTTCTGGGGGGTGCCAGGAACATGGCTCATTATGGTTGGGAACAGATTAAAAAGCTGAAATACATTTTTAAAAATCAAGATGTTAAAATATGGGCAATTCATCTCCCTTTCGTTGTAAACCATGCATACTAATTTCATTTTTACCAAAACAAGTCTTTCATATTCATTTCTCCTTTCCCGAAAAGTAACCCTCTGTACTGGTCCTGATGACCATGGTCTCCTGTACAGAGAGTTATGGGAAATTGAAAATATTTGAACTGTCACAGCAGTGAGGGGGAATGTTCCAATTGGGACAACTCTTCTAGTGATAACTGTCTAAGTGGGGTACTCCCTCACTTTGGCGAAATATCCTCTTACTTTCTGCTGTGTCCCTGGAATAGAAAGCGAAGGAGACTCTTTCCAATGAGAAACCAAAAAAAAAGGGATGTTAACTATTCCCTACTCTATTGAAAACTATCTATGCTATAAGCCATGGTTGTCATGCAGGCTGAACTTCAAACATGTCTGCCTTTGTTCATCTTCTTTACATAGTGGATGGGTGGGACTATTAGTTTACACAAAAAAGAAAGGAAAGTTTGTGCTTTCTTTTGAAGTGAATCAATTACACTTCCAATGACACTGAATTTCGTGCAAGATCAACAAGTATTTTCTGTACTTGCTGAAAATGTTCTTATCCTTAAAAAAGAAAAGGAATGCAGCCACCAAATCTAAGGATTTGTAAGCTGCAATAAATGTTTGTTTTTGGGTTTAGATATGCTTTAAAGGGTTACATGAGTTCACTAAAGCATTGAGACTTCACAAGTCTGGGAAGCTGAGTTTAATTTCAACACCAACATGCACCAGCTGCATGAAGAATGTATGCTATTTCTGCATTTATAGAATATGGTGTTACAATAAACACACACATACAATCATGCAATATATATATTTGTATTCACCTGGCCTGATCTTGAGTTCGCCAGGGTAATAAATTCTTGCATAAGTGTCATAAGGGTCATAAACTTCTCATCTTCATAGTCAAATCTTTCTCCAAATATAATAGAGCAGATAACATTGGAGGCAGCTAGTTTTAGCAGATTCATCGGGTTAATCGGTTTACCTGTGATTACACAAACAGAACCCATCAGAACTTATGCAACTGACATTCAGACTCACCAAAAACACGTTAAGACTGTGCTTTAACACTTCTGGGAAAATGGACTGTATGAGAATTAAAGAAATGCTTCTTTGAACTCTTAGAGGTGCCTTTCCTGGGATATATAGTCCCCAATCAAGGTTTATAGGCTTTGCCAACTATTATAGACAATTTGTCAAGGATCACTCTTCAATTGTTGCACTCGCCACTGCTCTTCCCAAGAAGGGAGCCAACTGGAAATATTGGCCAGATGAGGCTCTTCATACCTTTGATCATTTGAAGCAAGCCTCCCCCCC